CTCCTTCCAGTGACATGCGGGATAGATTTGAAACCTCTATCATGAACTTATCACTAAAAAAATATATATACACTAAAAGGAACATATACCAGAGAAGTCCAAGAATAAATCACCCCTCATTGAAAAATCACCTAACACTCTACCAGCTACACATTACAACTAAAATCATTCTCAACCAATCAAGAATGAGATCAGTAAACTTATCCTAAAAAAAATGTGAACTGTATTTTGTCCAAATTATACATAGCAGAACTGTAGGTATGACTTTACAGTATTGAGGGTCCATTAAATTAACAAACGAAAGGTATAATGGTATGGTAGGTACATTAAAATATTAGAAGGGCAAAACACCACAAGTCCCTGATGTTGTAGGGATTAAGGACCATGGTCCCAAGAAAGAAATAAAGAAAAGAAAAATTTACCTGCTCTGCGATGCTAGCAGCTTCAGCATATGCATCTTGAATATTTTCAGCAAGCCTGTGAAGAAATATATTTGATATTCCTCCAGCAGCAACTATGAAGGGACCAGTGGCTAAAGTTATGAGAGCAATCTGCCAGCAGTTAATAAATCCAATGACAAGGCCACTGAAGAATGTAGCCATATTGTGTATATAGTTTCCAACCTGAAAAGAGTGCAAAAATAAAAATGATCATAAAAAATCCCATCGGATATGTAGGAGATGAAAACACAAGTTGAATTTTATTCTCAAGTCCCAACTGGAGTCCAGTACATACTTTTTCACTAAGAGCAGACTGAATGAGTAGCACATCACTGAGTACTTGGCTAACAATATCCCCATTGTTGCCATATGTATCGAAAAAACTCATATCCTGATTAAGTAACACTTGAACATATCTGGATCTAATGACAGCAGTCTGCCTTTCACCGGTCAGAATCCAGCATGAAACCTCTATCACACAGACAAGTTAGTTGATTGCGGATAAAACGAACTTAAATATGAAAGGAATTTCAACTAAGGCTAACATCCAATCCAATAAATATTACATCTTACCAATCCAACCAGCAACGAAAACACCAATAGCGATATAAACAACTCTTAAAGCAAGCTGCAAAGAAATGAAGTCCAAAAAAAAAATTTATCGTTACTCACTAATTCTGACACAGGCATTTGCTGGGCATATGGAGTTACAATTAAAAGAATTAATGGGTTTAAGTATGTAATTTTACAGACTGCAAAAATTAAAAAAAAAAAAAAAATTTAAATCATGTAGTACAATTACACTCAACTCCATGATCGAGTCCATCATTCCTGAAGCAATCACTAAAGATAATTAAATTAACAAAAATATAATATGAATACAACTAAAAGCTATGTTTCTAACACAAGCTACATACGTCATGTCTTCAATATATTTAAAGTCAAGCACCTAATTGATAAGTTAATTAACCTCAGATACACTACAGTTGCTACAGCTCAGCATTTATACTTCAAAGAAACAAAACTATACAGTAGATATACCTGAACTGACTGTGATTGGAACATAATATAAAGTTTATGAATTCAATTAGGCATCTAGCATGGCTCGTGTTATTTGACATTACGTAAGTTTTCCTTAAAATTGTGTAATTATAGAGATATGAAATGAGTAACTGCGAAAATTTTGATGAAGAAAATTCCGGTGATTAATTTACAGCTAAATCAAGATTTAAACTTTCCGGTAACATTTATTTACTCGTGAATATTCAGACGACCAAACTAGTAACATAAGTGACGAGAAAAGAAACCGGCATATCTAGATAAAGGAAAATATTGTTTCTATTTAAAGCAGAAAGCTTCCAAGTGAAAGCTTCTCTTAGTTCGACTACAAAGAAAACCAATCAACTTTCAAAAGAGAATCACTCCGGGACCTATATTCTAAGCCCAGCCATCCCGCACAAGAAAACTCGCTAGACTCCCTAGTTCTAGCACTTCAAACTTCAATTTCAGCAATTCCCTCAGAAACAGACACGCCGATCATGAAAGGAACATAAACTCCCAGAAGGAGGGTTTTCGAGAATCAGTTACTAACCTCCCTAAATCTCTGAGACTGCTCTTCCGGAGGAATCCTCAGCACATGGACAATCTTAGCGAAGTAATGGAGGTAAACAACCAAAGCAGTACCGTGCGCTGCAGCGGCAATCGATCCAACAACCATGAGAGTCCAATCAAGCCGGTCGGCACACGCAAAAAGCCGCGAAAATGGCACAGCAGCCGGGGGCGGCTCAATATCCTCGGGTTCCTCGATCTCTTCAGGCTCCTCAAGTCGGTCGCCGGTAGGGTCACTACCCGGGTCAAGGTAGGGCGACGGAGATTCCGGCGGCTCCGATACCTCGGAGACAGGAGTCAAGGGTTGTATATGAGGTGGAGACCACCCAAACAAGCCCCGAGAGATCATCATCTTGAAGAAGAAACCCTAATCCTCCCCCTCTCCGTCCGTCAATACCCAACACAGAAAATCAAAACCCTAATTCCCCCTAAATTTAGCCACAGATCTGCTAAATTTAGAGGAAACTATCCCGAATCGAAAGAGATTTACGAAAAATTGCTCCTCTTTCTTCTAGCTTTCAGTGTCTCTCCCTCTCCACCCGCTCATCCTTCCCGCTCTGTGAAAGTGTCCATTTTCAGTTTTTTTTTTTTTCTCGCGAGAGCACAAAAATGGTTGTTGCAGGTGGATGAGACTGAGTCAAATATGGCGGAGACACCAGGCAAATGTTTGACTCACCCCAAAGTAATAATAATAATAAGTATCCACCAAAAAAAAAATTATTATTATTTTTTTTAATTTTTTTAAACCCTTTTATTATTATTATTATTACTGTTATTATTTATTTTACTTTTTTCCCGTTGCCCCTTCTTTTAACGGTCAAATGCAGGCGATGCGTTTCGACATTTGGAGCATGGCTACTGGCATTAACAACTGAGCCATCCGACTTCTCTTCTCTTTTTCTCAAGCTTTTTTTTTCCCATCATTTTCACTGTATTTTTTATTTTAATATGAATTTATAATTTGGTTAAATTACAAATGGGCTAATTTTGAACATGGTCTCCATAATTTTGATAATTTTAGTTTAGTTTAATTAATGATTTTTACGATCTTGTAAATTATTTTTTTATTAGTACAACAAATGTATGGTAGAAAAATATGTTAATTACGGTTTAATTATGCTTATATGTATAATCTCGTCAATTTATCACAAAAAAAAAAATCTACGCTGTTATGGTACTAAACATGTGATATGTATTTCCTATTTAAGTAATTGGGTTAATTTGTACTAAAAAAATTTTAGTTAATTATATAATGAAAAATATTTTATACACCATTAAGGATTATTCCATAATAATTAGAGTTAAAAAATATAAACTATAAGAATCAAATTAAAACCACAACAATCAATCTTGCATTTCATCCTCTTCTAATTAAGATATTCAATATGTTTTTATAATATGAACTAAAAGGATCTTTTCAAAAGGATAATTCTGGACCAACAAAAAGAATTGGCTGAAATAATTTTGAGAAAATTGTACATCACCATCCCTGTCATAATGTTGATATGAAATTCAATTAACTTGTAAGGTGGTGACATGTGGCACTATTGTGTGAAACTATAGGTGAGATTAGTAATAAATTAGCCGTCATATATACTTTATCGTGCAATAGAGTAGAGTAAAAACAAAAGACTTTGAGAGAATGAGTTCAAACCAACGTAATGACTACCTACCTAGTAATTTCCAACACGATGAGCACGTAATTTCTTTTTTTTTATGTTTTTATTTATGAAGGACTTACGGAAATGGAGGTTTATGTTGATGACACGATTGACAAGTCTTGGATGGAAGAAGACCTGAAACGGGAGCAACTTTTAGAGCAAATTCTAATGTATTTTCTACTTTTATTGGCAACTAAATATAGTAGGATCTCGTGAAATTAATCAAAATATGCACAAATTGATCCACACACACTCACAGATATCATTAATATATATATTTTGATCAGAAATTGAGGGAGATATGATTGGGGGAGTGGGGGACTGTAAATAAGGCCTCTCTCACATCTGTGTGTGTGTGTGTGCCAGGCCATTTTCTCTGTGTCTGCCCTTTTTTTCTTTTGATCATGTGCACTTTTTAGAGTGGTATTATGGCTTTGCTTTTTTGGGTTTGTGGGTTCAACCAAGTTGCTAATATGTGTTGGATTGTGTCTCAAATCAAACATTAAAAATTTTAAAGGAGGCCAAAAAGTGGGTCTTTTTTTTTCTTTCTCAAAAAAAAAATAAAATAATAATAATAATAATAATAAAGAGGGATAGAGACGTGTATTTTTTTTACATCTATTTTTCCTTTCCTTTTCCTTGGATCTTCGTAACACCATGATATTCGTATGATTTGTGATCGCAAAAATTTTGTTTTTGTTCTGAATTTGCAAAAAATACCAAAATGAAAGAGAAAAAAACATTGTGTTGTTCAGGCATATTAAAATAATCTATATTGTTGATATTTTTATTTAAGTAATTGATGCCGTTTTGAACAAAATCTGATATTTTAACATAGTTTTGTTTTGTTATTTTAGGAAAGGAACGCTAAACATTTGTTCATTTTATTGGAAAAGTTAGTTTTGTTAAGTACAATGTAAGCTTGATTTATTTTTAAATAACTATAAACGGTCTTTAGTTACCATATTTTGTATCACTTACAAATCATATATGAATGTTAAAGATTAATATAATCCTATGCACAAACCAGTTTAAAATTGGAAAATCAACCCCAATACACAAATTTTTTATAATCTTATAGGTTGGGTAAATAAGTGGTATTTTGCTAGTACAAATGACCAATATATCAATGTCCAAAACCTACTTATTTGGTTTAAATTATAAAATGATAAAATGGATGCATCATCATTTCATGGAGTATAATTTTATCCCCTAATGATGGGTGGTCTTACAATGGGCTAGAGAAATTACCATTAGTTGTTTATACACAACATATATTTGACATATCTTGAATTTATTTTTTTTCCTTTTTAATGTTGAAGCCCAATATAAAGTCAATGGTGATAAGTGATATAGATTATTAGTAGAAAATTAATTGGGTTATTTATTTAAAACGCAGGAAAAAATTAATTTTATTCGAGTATGATTATAAACTAAGCATTCTCTATATTTTATTAGGTAGTGTTAATAAATTAGTTTGAATACAATAATTAATGGGTTGGATAATAAATTAATAATAATTAATTATATAGATCAACCTTATAATCAAACAATCACATTGACTAAAATATAAGAATTTATATCAAAGGCAAAAATGCTTGTTTACTCATAAATGAGTTTAACTAATTTCTTCGTGTATTTATATGCTTGTTTACTCATAAATGAGTTTAACTAATTTCTTCGTGTATTTATATGCGATTTATATCAGTATATATGTGACTTGTCTAAGAATCAATCGATCAATACAACAATAAACATTGAAGCAAGGAAAAAGAAACTTGAAGACTAATTAAAGGTGACCACCTAATCTAAGATAAAATTCTAGTGCTTTTTAGGATCCTCTAGTTGTCCTATAAAATAAAAAAAAATTATTAAAAAAATATAAAAAGTATTGTGGTATATAAAATGATAATAAAGAAAACAACATCAATAGCATTCAATCTCTAACTCTTGAGTCAGATTCAAATATTGATCAATTCTTGTTCCAACCATTGTTAAATTATAAATGAATATTAATCAGCATTTGAGGGAATATGGCATGTATTTCTTGATCTTAAAGGAATGATTATGTAAGAAAAATGTAAACTCCACTTATAAAAATTAATTGATTGGACTTTGGCTTTTGTTGGTGTGCGACAGTCCTCCAACGCTTATGCATAATTAATTCTATGGGGAATTGAACCTACCAAAGGAGCCCGTGTTTGGCTTTGTGAAGCCTTTGATCCTTTTTTAAAGTACAAACTCACCCATTTTATTTTTTTCAACCTTAGTGACCGATATAACTATTTATCTCTTATGATGTTATGATATAAGTATTTAGAAAAAAAAAAAAAAATATATATATATATATATATATAAATATATGAGTAAACAGGCAAAGATATAAATTCTTATATTTTAGTCAATGTGATGGTTTGATTATAAGGTTGTCATATATTTCAATATAACATAAAATACTTTTTGATAAAAAGTTAAAAGCACCTAAAAATGGTATGAGAAAAATGGAGTGATTTAAAAACATTTTTATTAGTACTAGTTAGTAAGGCTCGCATGTTTGATTTTAGTAAAATGAAAGATAAAAATAAGCACCATACAAAAAATTAAATAGGAATAGAAATAAATATTTATTTACTTTCTTCAAAGTATGATATTTATTTGATTCGAGAAATCAAAATATAAATGAAAGAAACTGAAATGACAATAAATAAATTTAAAGAGTCGTCTACATATAGTATTAGCATGTACTATGTAGCACTTCACATAAAAAAGTAATTTGTTGTCCAACCCTCAGTAAACTTTGGCTATAAACATTGTAGCATTATACCATTATTAGTTAGGAAGTAAATGGCTGAAGCCGATAAAGCTGACGACGCCCCAATGCAAGCTATGGTGGAAAAGAATGCAGAATAATTAGTATTCAACTAAAATGCCAAAGTGAGCATAGCTTGGTAATTGACATATACCTCAACCATGAGGTTAGAAATTCGATCCCCTACCCCCACATGTTACATGTTATACTCAAAATAAAAATAAAGAAGTAAAATAAATCACTTGTGCATCAATTTTTACCCAATAAATACCTCCAAAGTTTTTGTTTCCTATTTAGTTCTCTTTATTAAATTGCTTTTTTTGCAAGTTTTCTAATGTTATTTACTAAAACATGAATCTCAAGTTTCCCATTCCAACAAAAGTATAAGGAGCTTTTAGGTGTTTCATTTTGTCTTTTTGGACTTGGGCATTTTTGTGGCTTCAAATTTTAGGTAGTGTTGATTGATTCATGAGTAATTTTCTAATTTAATTATGAGGAATTATTAATTTAATCAATAAAGTGACTTTTTCCCCTTAGATATTCACAACAAAAATTACAAAATTACAATATTAGTCACTACCATAAAACTACATCTACATGCTATTTACATCTCATGAATATGTTTCATGGACTTAACAGTACCATTACCATATAATAACATTTGATGGTATAACAGGCGTGAGGGAGGTCCCCCTCCTAAATTTACCATAATATATCCCTCTTGGAAGGCTGTTTTTTTTATGCCCTTCTTATTTTTTTTTATCTATTTTCTTTCTTCTCAGTGAAACCATAGTTTCTTATTAAAAAAAAAAAATACCAGTAATTATGGTGGTTCGGCAAAGGGAGGTGGGCAAGCAAAAGACAACTTCACTTGGAGATAAGAAATACTTTTCCATTCAAATAATCTACCAATACTCTTTCCACCACAAAACTCAGAAATCACCCTACAATAGATTTAATCATAATTGATTTTCCAAAATTTAAGGTTTTAAACTTTCTAAAAATCAATTTTTTAATTTGCCACACATGTATGAAATGGGGAGTGATTTTGACAATGTTCATACTAAAATCACAGCCAAACACACTCTACGGCTAATTACCAGTGAAACGAAAGAAGGAAGAACCTTTGGTGTTCACTTGCCTATCCTCTAAGTCCAAACAAAATCCTAGTAAAATTGCAT